ATGCTGGCTCATATTTAAGTGATTGTCCACTAGGAACTTTTCAGTAGATGTACTGAATGGGATGTATGATTGTATTCACTGCAGTGATTATGTTTTATGTTTAGCTTTAATGAGCTTTTAGTGATGGTTTTAATATGGTTTTTATTTATTGCATTTATATTTGTATTTGTATTATCTTTTCTCACTGTAGTTTTTAATTGTTCTGTGCTGCCCAGGTTCACCTAAATAAGAAATGTGGCTATACAAATCTAATAAGTAAATAAACAGCAATCTATAAAGAGAAGGGAAGCAAATAAATAATGTCATGATGCAAATATTGCAATTTATGTTCTGCATTAATTATTGTGATGCAAATAATATTTTATGATGACATTATCATGTACATGTCATGACAGTTTGCATTTATGCATCTGACAGGAATGTAGCCTTTCTGAGTCCTACCAATCAGTTTCTTTGCTGGTTCAGTCTCTTTAGTTAAATAACCATTCCATGGCCAACATCTTTGTCAAATGAAAGTTGTAAATGCTGGCTATTTGCTAAGATGCATGATTCATGATTTGTGTGTCATGTTTACTTTGAATTCAACCCTAAAACCATTCAATAGTGAGTCCAGTCCAAAAACATAAAATAGTAATAAAGAATAGAGAGCATTTCTGGGCATTATTATTTTTAAAAAATCTTTGCGTAATTAAAGCCATGACAATAATTCCAGTTTTCCCCTTCCATCCCATTTTATTTCTGACAAGCAGGTATTTCAGACACCTGCAACATTTAGTATAAACAGTAACAAAACAAAATCATATGTATGTACGATATAGAAATTTCTCCCAAACCATTTCAACTTCATTAAGAAAGTCAAAATGCTTAAACGTTATTTAGCTCAAGCAACAAGGATACTGCTAAACAAGCTGCTCCTATTATTTCACTGGGGTTTGTAGAACTCAGAATCTTGGAAAGGAATTGTGTGAAGAACTAAAACTCAAAATACTGTCCATCAACAACACTTCGAAATCAGGAAGAGACTAAATGCATCCTATAAGAGAGTTTGGCAGTACCTTATATATTCATGGTTTCAGTATAGACAAATAGTGGATAGATGGAAGTTAGATTGTAATGTGGGTTTACTTAGAGAAGATGAAAACTTTCTTAAACAAGTAAAAGATCAAAGACGAACTCATATTAAGAGAATTTATGGGGTGCTAGTAGAATTGGATTCAGAGGCAGAATTAATTAAAGAATGTATGATCAAATGGGCACAAAATTTTGGTGAACCAGTTCTGCTAGATACCTGGGAAATTATTTGGGTGAGGAATGTCAAATTTACACAAGCCCAGAATTTAAGGGAGAATTTTTATAAAATGTTTTACAGATGGCACCTTGATCCACAAAAAATGTCTCATATGTATCCTGACTTACAGCCTAAATGTTGGAGATGTGGTTGTTTGGATGCTACTTACTATCATATTTGGTGATCGTGTAAAAATATAAAAGCCTTTTGGATTAAGATATGGTGGAATATTCAAAGAATTTTCAGAAGGAGGGTAAAATTTACCCCACAATTGTTTTTATTAGGTATTGTTACCGACTGTGATATTAAAGAGACTACATTGATGTTAAATTTAATTACAGCCGCAAGGCTGCTAGTAGGGCAATGTTGGAAGAAGGAATCTCTGCCTACTTTGCAAGAGTGGTTTTTTAAAGTTTCTTATTTGGCGGAAATGGCAAAGATTTCGGCTTTCTTGAAGGATCAATCGCAGAAGAAGTATTTTGCGGTATGGAAAAAATGGATAGATTTTATACAATATAAGATGGATGTTAAAAAATATTATTTAGCTTTTCAATAACTTATATTTAAAATTTAAAATATTTTCTAGATTTTATTCCTTTTTTATTTTTATTTTTTATTTTTATTATACTTTCTTTTATCTTTTTCTTTCTTCTTTTTCTTTATTCTTTTTTCTTTCAAGTATTATTCTTTTGGTAGTTATGTTTTCTTATACATATATTATTGTTAATTATCTTATAATTTGTTTAATTAATGTATTTAGTATTTAGATTTAATTATGATTTATATTTTCTTTTAGATTATTTGAAGAAATTTTAATTAAGCCTAGGTTCAGCTCTGGGAAGGTCGGGGGAGGGAATGGGAGGGTTGGGGAGGTTTGGGGATGGGTTGTTTTGTTTTTGTAAAATTTTAAAAACTTAATAAATATTTACAATAAAAAAAAGAGAGAGTTTGGCAGTACCTCTAAATGTTGTGGTCTTCTCTGCTCTTATGCCTCCATCCCTTTCATACCATTCTCATCATTCTGAGGAGAGGTATTGTTGAGGGATCAAAAAGAATTCCAGAAGCTGTGCCTTTTGTGCTTTTTCTTATTTTATTTTTTAAATAAAATAGTTCTATAAGGATAGTTCCTTATAGTTATGAGGTATGGTTTTCTTTGACGCAATATAAACATTGCTTACATGATTGGCTTGGGAAAAGTCTTCAGAGTTTGGAGTAGTTTCAAAAGGAGTGCTTGAATCTTTGAGCAAAGGCTGTATATTTCTCAAAAAGTCCTGCCCTTGGATAAGCAGTGCTTTTTTTTGTCATAAAATGCACTGGAACAGAATTCCGGCACCTTTTTTCAATGGATTTTTCAAGTTTTAAAAGTAACTTTTGAAAAATTGATGTTTGGTCCACATGGACTTGAATCGCCCTGTTGAGCGTAGCAGGTCAGCGGCAAAATCATTAAAATGGTGCGTGCAGGCTGCTTGTGTGTCGAGTCTGATACATGCATACTTCATCTGCACTGATTGTGATAGCACTGCTCAGCTTGTGGCACTGCTCGGCTTGTGATTGGTCATGTGATCACACGCTGAGTGCTTACTCCATTTTGTTGAATCTTTTTTCTTGTCCTCAGATTTATTTTGTGATCTTAGAATATAAGTTATCTTTTCCATGTCCAATATTTCCTGCAAGTTTTTTTCCACCGGGGTTAAGTCATACTTCCTTCTATTGTTAGCTTCATCTTTAAATCTCTTTCCTCTGGTTTATATTCAGTTGTGTGTTTTATCTGCTCGCTCTCTATTTTTATTTTTTGAGAGTTTTTTGTTGTAAAGTTGAATTGGACATGTATTCATTTATATTTTCAAAGTTATTTTTAATTTCCTCGTGGTTTGAAATAAATTTTGTTTGAATTAGTTGCAACATATTATACATCTCATCCTGGAAAATGTTTGTTTTTTCTTGGTATATTCTTTCTGTAGCTCTCTGATTTTCCATGATAGCCAAAAATCAGGGTTTTCCTTTCTTTGCAAACAGCATTAGAGTCACAATTGAGTAGATATTTATAATTCAGAAAAGTCAATTTTTTTCTCTAAAGTTTATAATTCTCGCTTTGTAGATAGCAAGAATTTTTGTTACAGCTGTTCTCTGTTATTAAAACATTGAAAGTCACCAAACCAAATTATATTTTCCTGGGCTTTGCCAGTTCCTATATTGGAGCAACTACTATTGTATACTTTCATCCACCATTAGATGCCAGCACTAATTCATTTTTCAGTTTTCAAAATAAACAATTGCTTTCTTCTGTTTTCATGATTTAAAAAGAAAATCTTAACAAATTGCACCAATTTCAAGCTTCTCCAGATTTAGATCTTATATTCATTTCATTTCAATATATTTCTGTCCCCCATAAAAAATTTAATTCGCCGCTTCTGTCTGTAGGAGGGTGGGGCAAAAATCTCCCTCCTTCTCACTTTCGGAGGCTTTTTGCTTCTTGGGTTTTTTCCCCAGGAAATCAATTATCAAGTAGAAGATGGAAAATCAATGTTCTTACCCCGTTCCAATCATATTGTTTATAATCAGCTTAAAATATGCTTTTGGGCTTCAGCTGCTAGTAGCTTGGGCAAGACTCTGGAGTTAAGGCTAGCCTTTCTCCTGATGGTTTTTGGAGGACTTTCCCTGAATGACCGGATTGACCGCTGTCTCTCCATGGTTGGTGGGTCTTCCCTCTTTCTTTGTCACTTCTCCGGAGCGCCTTTAGGCCCATTTAGGGTCCCCAAACAGAATGAAATTGGCCATAGGGTGCTACTGCACCCACTGGCTCTAATACTTCGTGCTTTCTTCACTATACCTCAATTATTCTTCACTCCCTCAAATTTCACATTTTATTTTACTTTTTAAAATTATCAATTTATAAGATTTCTGACTCCAAAATTACTCTGGGCAAATTACAGCTAAAATATACAATATGTAGCTAAGATGATGATTAAGAGAGAGAGAGACAGACAGACAGACAGACAGAGACAGACAGAGAGAGAGAGAGAAGGACAGAGAGAGAGAGAGAGAGAGAGAGAGAGGAGAGAGACAGAGAGCCAAATGTGCAAGATTCAAAACAAAAAAAGCAAAAGAACAAAAGTTATGTTCTCCCAAACAACAGAGAGAACATCCATGTGTTTAATAGTTTCCTGAATTATATGAGTGAGAGCTGCACAAATCTTTTGAGGGAAAGGGGGGGGGGAGATCATTCCAGAGATGTAAAAGAGTAGGCATGCTTTCTATTCTTTCAGTTCCCTTTCTGTTTGGCCTGTTTTTTCCTCCTGCCCACATCTCTCCATTTTTAGATTTGTTCCTTCTTGCCAAAATTAGGAGTATGGGTCTTCCACTTTCTCTGACAACCACACACTGAGAGAGGTTTGGATGCATAAGCAGCAGGGTAAAGAAAAACCAGCTTCATCAGAACTTTCTGAATACAAAGGAAAAGGCTAGGAAAGTAAGGTACCCTCATGATTTTATCCACCCCTACACCTGCTTTTTAAAAAAAAAAAAAAAAAGTTTTATTGATTTTTACAATAAGAATCTTTAGTGCCTAGTGTACATCATGTTGTCTTGGTTTGTATATTTTGAAAAAAAAACAATCAATAGTAATTAATTAACAGTCAATAATAATTACTTTTTGTAATTCCATAATAAATATATTAATTAATAGTATATTTCTTTGATCTTCCCTTCTCCCAACAGTATTCTCTTTCTTCAACCTTAAACAAAAATCATTCTTAATATTTTTAATGCATAAATGGTTAAATAAAAACATTTTTCATGTTTGTACAAATAATAATAATGTCCATGTATGACATTTTCTCTTATCAACGTATTATTTTTCTAAAAATCATCTTATTAGTTCACTATATATCCTATTCTCATAGTTCTTATTTAAGCTTAATTTCCCCTTAATATGCAAACAATATCAGTCATAATTTGGTCAATATTAATCATCTATCTAGATTTTCTATTTAGATACACCATCCCAATGTTTTCATATTTCATGCATTATAAAAATACTATATGTTTATATATCTTATGACATCTACCGATAACATATTCTCTGATCAGTTTATATTTCACTTATATTTGTAAAAGCTAATTTGTTAAATCACTAGATATCTTATTTTCAAAGTTCTTATTTAAGCTTAATTTCTCCTCAGTGTCTCCCAAACTGTAATGGCTCTCCTGGCAGTTCTATAGTCCATTTTGTTAAATCTTCTTTCTTATCCTCAGATTTATTTTGATGTTCTGATGAATAAAGTACCTTTTCCGTTTTTATTGTTATATCAAAGTCTTGTAGTTTTTTCCTATTTGTGTTAAATTATAATTGTCTTCATTTGTAGCTTCGTTGATTAAGTCATTTTTCTTCTGGTTTATGTTCTGTTATCTGATTTGTTTGTTCATTCTTTACCATCATTTTCTGATTGTTTTTTGATTGTGGGTTTAGATTAGAGATATGCTCATTTATGTCGTCAAAGTTATTTTTGATCTCCTTGTGGTTTGAAGCTATGATCATTTGTGTCTGTTGTAGCATTACATACATTTCGTCCTGAAAAGTATTTGTCTTGTCTTGAAATGTTGCTTCTGGAGGTCTTTGATATTCGAGGCTAGGTCCTTCAGGAGTAAGTATTAAATGTGGTTTTCTGTCATTTTTTGATAAGTATGTAATATCCATGTTATCTCTCCCTTTCAAATAGTTGTTTATCAGGGCCATAGTCTCTATAATTAGTCTTATCAAACCAGCCAAACTCAGAATCCAAACTGCCCAATTTTGTATAGTTCTTATCTTTATATATTGTTTTTATAATCCACTGTATTTCCAGTTGTCAAGGCATCAGTAAAATCAGTATTTTATAATAGTTCTTTTATTCAGTTGTCAGCCAGTCAAAATTGCAATTCAGTTTATTAAGCCACCTTGAGTCCTTCCTATAGATTCCCCCCTAAAAGATTAGCCCAGAGTCAAAGTTTTTCTTTTTCTGCAAGCAATTCTTGAATTTAGACAACAGTCAAAATATTTCTTTTCCTTCAGACACTTTTTAATCTTATGGCTGGCCCAGTATGTATTCTTTCCTAGCTCCCATCAGCTGTCTTCTCGGAGTTATTAAAGTTCAAGGGAACAAATTATTCTTTGTTTCTGGGCATCTTGCAAATTTCTGAATCAGTGTTATTAATGTTCTATGCTAGTTCTCCACTAGGTGTCAGTAGTTGTTTGTTTTCCAGATTTTTCAAACAAAAAATTATTTTATTATTATTATTATAGTTTTATCAAAACCCTTTATAGTATAATCTTAGCAGTTTTTTTATTTCTAGATTTATCCAGACTGTAGTATTTTAAATTTGATTTCAATATATTTCTTTCCCTCTTAAAGGTTAATTTGCCACTTTGGTCTATGGGGGAGTGGGGGTATAGTCCCCTCCCTTCACTTTTAGAGGTTTTCTTACTTTGGGGATCTTTTCCAAGGACTTAGTTACAGAGCAGAGGAGAGAAGATCGATACTCTCACCAGTTCCAAGCATGCTGTTCACCATTGTTCTGGTTCATGCTCTTGGACTTCACTCACAAGTAGCTTGGGCTAGACGCTGATGTGCAGCTAGCCTTTCTCCTGTTGGGTTAGAGGGCTTCTCCCAGATCAAACAGAATGACCGCCGTCATTCCGTGATCATCGAGGCACCCCTCTTTCTTTGTCACTTCTCCAGGGTGACTTCAGACCCATTTAGGGTTCCCTGGCAGGGCGAAATCAGCCATGGGGTGCAGAGCTCTGGAATCCCGCAGCCAAGCACTATGGCACAAAAACTGGAAGTCTCCCTACTCCTGCTTTTGATTGACTTGGTTTCCTACACAGGAATTTGAAATGATGATAATCCATGGATATTAGAATTCCTCCAGTGGCCTTGATCAGTTTATGGGCCTTATATTGTGCATATCTATTATAACTTAAATCTGATTATTATTGGTGCATCACATAAAAACATATATCCATTTAGATCAAGAAAAATCATTCAGTAGTTTTTATGTTTCCTCTTTTTGTACATTTGTACATTTTTGCAGTGTGCCATATCCAAGCAACTGGTAGAATACCTAATTCTTAATTGGGTATTTAGCCTGCATACAGGCAGATATGGAACTTGTCTTCTAATGCAAAGTAATGCCTGAACAAGTATTTTAAGTTATTTTGGCCTGTCACTGCAGACAGTAATCATCTCACACAGCATGAAGCTGGCGCTTTGGAAGTAGGACTTTGTTGGCACAGTGGACTGCTGGAAAAGAAAGCAATCAGTGACCTTTCTGTATTCTCTTTCTCAGCTTTATCCTTAAAATAATATTTGCCTCTATTGAAACCCTTGGCATGAAAAGCGGACAAATGTTTAAATCATTGGCTCCCTAGGTACAATATAGATAATAATAATATGACTTAAAATTGTGTCATTGGGAAGTTCTGCCTCTGAACCTAATATGCATATGTTTGAGCAAAGGAAACAGGTCTCTCTATAATATCTTGTCAATAAACTTAGATGCCATCTTCCAAAGTTGGCCTTTACTCACTTGTGTCAAACAGTTTTTGAACTGCACAGATGCTTCTGTTTCAGGACTTCCCATTTCTGCTTGATAAACAAATCATCTAGAATGTAATGAGCTGATGGTTGAATTGATGCTATACAGGTAGCCAATTATAGGTCAAATTGCTTGAAAAGATCAAAGAATGATAAAAATTGGAAGGAGTTATTTAAACTATCAGCATTCAATGCAGGGAATGATGGTCACTGATCTAGCATTTTATTTAACATTACCTCTGTAATATACATTACACCATGAACTAGACCAAAAAAAAGAGTGAGCCTTATTGTTGGCAGTCTATATTGATTACTCTGTTAATAACTATGTTATCTGTTGTTCAGAAAAGAGCTATTATAGTCAAAGAGAAAGATCCTGGACTGTTAATATTCTCAGTGAGAAAAAGATGTGTCCACTAAGGCTTCTTCATATTTTTCATAGTAAATCCAAGTTATTCAGGGCTGTTACTGATTTACTCTGCTTCCCCAGAAAGCCCAGTTAAATTAACCTAATGAATGGATAGGAAGGACATATGCTTAATGATTCTGGATATTCATTGAAAAGATAAAGCAAAATATTTTGATTCTATATACAGAATTTTAAGCACTTCTGGGAATGAATCAATTCAGCCTTGTGAGTCCTTCAGCACAAGCTTAGGTGAAAATATTGTTCTCATGGGTATGACCTTTTGAATTGATACATGTACAGACATGTTTATATGTACTATTACAAAGGCAAGAATGAGAGAATCTAAGAGGTGTGGCACATATACAGTAAACTTATGTACTATATTTCTAGATGTGGGAATATCTATTTCAAGGGAGAAAATTAGCTCAAGAACACAAATGTAGCAGAATATTTTAATATTATTCTGCTAATATTCTGCAAGTAAGAGCAGAATAAGTATTACAAGTGTTATTTATAATGAACATTGTATAAGGAGAAAAATATCCAAATGCATCTACCAAATGGATTGTTTCAATGCTTGGAAATTTCATTCACAGTTTAAAAGTTGTTACCTGCTTAAAGAATTCAGTCAAATTGATTCTAAATGATAAAGATATCAGTAAAATAAGTATTCACTTGCACATGATTGAGCAAGGATTTTTGGTTTTAGATTTTGCATGTATGTGCTACAGCATGTTATAGCATGGAAAAATATATCTGGCTGTTATGGGAACAGAAGGGCAGGAAGACAGTTGAAGAAGTGCTATTGTTTTGAGAAAACAGATGCCATGTCATTATAAGAAAAACTGGAGGTCTAGAAGGAAAACTAAATATTGAAACTGAAGAAAGCTGAAGAAAAATAGGTATCAAAGTCAGAGTGGCTGAAAAATGACAGGCACAAAACAAGAGAAGACGATAAGGAAGGAAATCAAAGAACTGAGAAGTAGAAGGGACAAAAGAGGCTGAAGAGATACTAGTAAGTAGAATATTGTATGAGAAATCAAGAAAACTTGAATAGGAGAAAAAAATATTTACAGACAAAGAAAATTCAAAGTTGGCAAATGACAAATAACTGCCGTCATGCTGTGCTATCTGGGGAATTCTGGAAGTCCACACATCGTAAAGTTGCCAAAGTTGAGAAATATTGGGTTAAAACTATGCATTTTTCCCTACAGGCTTCTAAATCTATAGGCAGCATGGAGCCAAAATCTTGTTTCAAGCTATTGAAGCTAGGAAAAAGAATAGACATCCTTTAGTGTCAGAAAAATATTTTCATTTTCATTTTTAAAAGGAATGAAAGGTGGCCTGCAGAGTTAAAAATAGTTAAAATTTTTAAAAAAGTTTTAAAAATAAAAATGGCTATCTATCTATGCACCTTATTTTTATGTGTACTGTATTATGAAATTATGTAAACAGTATTTAAACACAATTCTAAAAATACAGAAACCGAAACAGATAAAGCAAAATAAAGCAAGTAATAAATAAATAACTTCCTGAGTAGCATTGTCAGTTGTGTTGTCAGGGTTTAAGCTTATTTTCTAGGGGACAGTTTACAAGTTTCTAGCTCTATTTTCTTTGTATGAGAAAACTATTGGAAATATTGCTATTTCCATCATGTCAAGACAATAGTTTTGTGTTCCTTAATGATATCATCTGGATTTCTGAATGCAGAGTGAAGAACTGGAAAAAAGTTTCAGTGAAGGAGCAACATATCCTATATCTTAATTATTGATAAAAGAATTACAAATATTAGAGGAAGAGTACTTTTATTTGCAGACTATTGCCTCATAATTTCAAGACTTCTCCATTATTTAAATTAAAACTAATTTTACTCTGGCTTATGGATGGAATCAGAGTTCCATCCTGGTTTTTCTAAGTCATAGAAGAAGAAGAATCTAAAGGGGTTCTGCAGTTTTAGCCATGGCTGTAGTTGCCTGAAAATATCCATTCACCAGAATAGTCTACCATAGCACACATGTAACCACTTGTCTCTGACATTCTTCTAAGTGGTGAGAATTTTACCACACATTTACAGGCAGTCCGGAAGCTAGGGAATAATAAAATTCTCCATATCACTTGGCAGGATATCATAGGCAATCTTCTTTTCAAGTGGTTTCATACACACTTTGTGGTAAGTTCCCACTAAGACCATGGTAGAATAGGGTCAGTCTAGCTTTTACTGACTTTGAGCCAAAGAGTCAAGAAAACATTTTGTCTCTACCATTATACAATAGAACCTGGTCCAAACAAACTATGGAGTTGTTGCATTAAGTTTCTTTTTCTAAAGTCATGACTGAATTCCATGGTTCCTTATATTTCCTACATACTCCATGTTTTACTTTACATTTGACAACAGACTGCCTTCTAATGCCTCTTTAGCAGTTGATCAGCCAGCTTGTGAAAATAATGTATGTTAGCCAAAACAGATTTATTTGCCAAGGATGTGGGGAGAAATATTTATCATCTACCATGCCAGCCCTAGATGACCTCAATGTCTCATCAGAGTTGAAACAAAATATATTAAGAGGAGAAAAGTAATGGGACTTCATCTGTATTCACAGATCTTTCATAAGGATGCAAGTTAACTTCATGACTAATACAAATGATAGCAGATGGTGTAGGAGACAGTGAAATACAGCCGTATAGCCCTTTTTTTTATTATTATCATTAAAGGGAGGGTCTTAATTCCAGTCTAGGAACTCAAAAAATTTGAAATCTACCCAAAACTTTCATTTTTTCAGCCAGAAATACAGCTTTAGAGATATGTAGTATGATAGCTTTACACATAAAAATATTATAACAATATTACTTTCTGTCTGGAAAAAAAAGTTGTTTGATCGATGTGGAAATTTTATACTTGATACAACTGTTTGTTTTTATTTATTTATGTTTAACAATTTTTAAATTCTCGATGGGAGATACTCAATTTTTTTATATGGAAGTCCAGAGAATATAACAACAAACAAGACAATGAAGGTCTTACGCCGCCCTGAGTCCTTTGGGATTGGGCGGCATATAAATATTTGAAAATAAATAAATAAAATAAAGGTTTATTAATCTAAAGCAGGAATCATGTGTACAATATCTTGGGAAAAAGTCCTAATGAACTCAGGTTTTTAGTGCCAAATAACTTTTCATAAGACTGTGTTATACATGAAGTATTACAATTTCTTAAGAACTACTGGTAAGATGACAGTCCCTGAATGAAATACGTATCTGGCAAAGTGGCAATAAACTCTTGGTTCGGTTTCAAGTCCTAATTGAAATATAGAGTATCTTTCAAGTTGTTAGCAAGAAACACTGAGGCAATCTCCATGCAATGCCATGAAGCAATTTTCTGTGTAAGTAAATAATCAAAAGCAACCTTTTTCCATGTATAGACAAACTTATGGAGCAATGTGATAATATATTGTGAGTTTTATTATATTTTATTTGGTAATCTCATTTCTGTCACATGCAAGAACATTTCATCTTATTTTTATGTAAAATAAAAGCCATGTTCTCAAGCACTGCAGCCTGCAGACTCAACTGAAGCAACCCGTTAAATACATAAAGGTTTTCAAAAATCTAATACTGGTATGGTTGACTCATAACTTTGGAATTTTTTAAGCTGACACCAACAATGAATTTGCAGAATCTTAAACACACAGAAAAAATGGTGCCTTTTAAAACCCACTGTTATATTCCAGCTGCACCTGGATACTCTGCTTTTTAATGCTGTTGGGAAATGTTGCTGTTTAACTTGTTTGGCTTCCAACAGTATCAATTTTTCAAAGAGATGCATGTTGTTTTGACCTGGGATGTTGACCTGGGATAATTTTGTATCTAAGCAGTACAAAATTGTTTAGCAATGTCCTGTTCTTTAACCATTTCCTAACTGTTTGGATTTCAGTATAAGATCAACATGCTAGCAATTCAAATCCAAGTCAAAACACATCTTGACACCCACAAAGTTTCTGTTCTTGTTGGAAGATACTTAACATATGAAAATATTTGCCTGTTCTACTTGAAAGAGTGAGTGAAGGCTGAAGCAAGACTGATAATAGAATGCTCTTGAACTAAATATGCGCTAAAAATAAAATATTGTTCTTTAAGAAGTCCAGAGTACTAGAGTTAGATTTTATAGTATTAATTTACCATAGTCGTGACATGATATGATATGACATAACATCATAACATAATGCAATGTATTTGCCTATTAAGGGCAAAACCCATAAATTTTCTGGGAAGAGAAAATAAGTCTAAATCATTGATTACATTTCCATTTCAAATATCAAGATTAAAAATGAGCCCAATAATTATTTGCATGTTTCTTCTTGTCATTATACTTCAGAATAGTTCTTGGTGCAACTTAGTGATTGTATCTGAAAGTGCCCAATTGCCATTGTCATAAAATTATATCCAAGTGTAAGGACATAATTCCTTAAATATCAGATACATTTTCCCCACTCTCCTTCAACCTTGTCTCCTTGATTTTTAATCACAGATTTATAGAATGAGAAGGGACTATAAGGATTACCTTGTCCAATCTGTGGAATATGCAGAAAACCAATTTCCTCCATCTTGTTGTAGAGTTGTTGCAAGTTTGAGAGGCAGCCCATTAATCCCATCTTCCAGGTCATTATTAAAACTATTGAATAATACTGCCCTCAAAAAAATCCCTGCAGAAACCCACTATTAATGCTCTGCATCCTGATATAGAGCTATGAATACTGATTTTCTGGGTGTGGTTAGCCAACCATTTATGGATCCACTTTATGATAGTATTAACATACTTTCAGCCTGGCAATGATAATATCATTGACATAATCTTGAATAATCTTGTTAACAAACATTTAAAGATATAAGCCTACATATGGATTTCAAAATATTACCTTTCTAAGTTTTCTGTATTGCCATTGCAAAAGATTTCATTGTTGAGTATTGTCTTGTTAACTAGATAAACATGTCTCCTACATGAGACTATATTTATAAATTTTAACTGCTTCAGTGTTGGTATATTTAAACTTATTTTTATGCTGTGTAAAAAGTGGGATACATAGCATTAGAGAAATGTGTATGAACAGGAAACTATGAGCACTTTGTGCCAGATTGAGAAAGAAAATGAAAAGTTTTAAGGAAACCAGTAGCTACCTATTCATTTCATTCATTAATAGCATTAACTGTTTTATGAAATATTGAGTTCTGATGTTTTCACAGACATTATTTATGTCTCTACAGGTATATTGGGGCGCTAGGCACAAGGGTGATCTGTGATAACATACCAGGATTAGTCAATAAACAGCGGCACTTGTGCCAGAGTTACCCAGATATCATGCAATCCATAGGGGAAGGAGCTAAAGAGTGGATTCGGGAATGCCAGCATCAATTCCGTCACCATCGTTGGAACTGCAGCACTTTGGACAGAGACCACACCGTTTTTGGCAGAGTCATGCTCCGAAGTAAGTCCCTTGATCAGCTCAGTGATGATAATGCAGTATCTCTTCCATTCTCATTCTCTCTCTCTCTCTCTCTCTCTCTCTCTCTCTCTCTCTCTCTCTCTCTCTCTCTCTCCCCTATCTTTCTCTTTCTTCTGCCACACATTAAATAAATAAATAAATAATTCTCTTTCTTCGATGTTGCTTTGATTTTACATCTGAGATAAAAATGTAGGGATACTGCATTGCTTTAATTTTGTTCTTGGGGACAAAAATTTCATAATAAGTGTTGTAATAAAATAGCCAAAACTTATCACTGCTTCTGCTTCTTCTGTCTTTTCCCACTGACAATAAGATGGCTTTCTGAATTCTTTTCCATCAGCGGTCATCCAGATGCCTTGGATAACCTCACAAACATCTCATGATGGGAACTACCCTCCCCTGCTTTCTTCTCCCAACATCTGTTAAAGTCTACATCTACAGAAAATGTAGGACATATGAAGTATCTGTTGATAAATTTGTACTCTTGAATTTTAACTCTTAGAAATCCTCGAAGCAGGTATCATTAGAGAAGACAACCTCTCTCAATCAAAGCTATTATAGAACAGCTTAGGAACAACTGATTGTTCATTCCAAACCTTTTAGCCAATATTTGAACAGACAAATGTTATTTAAAATTAGAAATCTACAAGACTTAATTCTAGTTAGAGAAAATCAGTAATTCCAGAGTCAGATGTTGACTTGCTAGTTTTAAAGGTACATTTAGCATATGCAGTTTTAAATGGAAAATAAATTCATTGGATGTTTATCATGTGAAGGGATTTCGAGCTTTAAGCAAAAGTTTTCAATATGGTGGAAATATTGCAATGATGAATTATGACTGTTTACTCATCTATTTACTCAGAGGTCTTATTATATTCAGTGAGATTTACTTCCATGAAGATCTGCAACCATCTTTTAGCAGGAAATGGCCCAACTTTTTAAAGAAATGGCTTTTCTCACTGCATAAAATACAAGATTGGCACCAAGTTTTATCACTTGTTTACAAGTTTACAGAGTTTAAAATTTGCAAGATACTCTTGAAAATTGTAAACAACAGAGCTTGAAGTAGTTCTTCAAACTTAAAAAAGTGTTTTCTTTATTTAGTAAATTTGATTATTTCATTGCAAGAACCTAAATTTTAATATTTCAGATCAACACAATTTTAACAAACTCCCTTTTTAATTCTTATCCCAAAATACCTGAAATGCCTCAGATTTTGAAAAAAAGCGGTATGTGCAAATTAGGCCAATTCATTAAGTAGGTTTTGTTCATCATTTTGATTGGTAGCCTGCCTTGCTACTTGGCTCAGCACCCAAGATAACTGGCAGTAATTAAAATATAGAATACAAGATGAAAACTACAAACAAATGCAAACATTAAGGTTAAAAGTCTAGAAAAGAGCTGTTCTTAAAACAGAGAACATTTTTTTCATTCTATTTTCTGTATGATTAAAAACAAAACAGACAATAATGACAACTAAAAGCCTAATTGGCTTAAAAATGAACTGAAACCAGAAACAAGGGAGACAAAAAACGGATTATAAATTTAAGGGAAGTGGAGATAAGGAGGCTGGCTGCACTGCCCCACTTTCACAGGCAATAAAGTCAACTGCTAAAGGCAAACTCTGTGGTCACCAAACATACCACTGGCCTCCCTGTGATGGGGAATTTAATCGGTGTTAACTTAGTTTTCTTATTTTCGCTTTAGAGCATGCACTGGAGTCATGTGCAGGAAAAAAAAGTATTTCATTTCAAAACATGATGAATGGGAATACTTTGAATTATCCCTCTTTCACAGCTTTCATACCTGAAAAGGTGTGCACGTGTATTTTTATGTGATTATGTTTTCAACTGATGAAGCTTCTTGGATGAGAAGGAAAATGTCTTTTTCTTTCTCAAAAACAGTCCAGTAGCCTTTTGAAAAAAAGCACCTTTGAAACAACTATGACCTGGATGGCTGAGAATCTCCATAGACACGTTTTTATAAACTCACGTTTTTATGGAAAATATGCATATGCATATATAAGCTCCCAATCTCTTGGTCTTCTGCAAAGGGGTCAAAACCTGTCTGTGCAGCCTTATATGGGGGACACCGGGGCTCACACAACCATGAAACTAATTGCCCCTCCCATGGGAACCCCCCATACCTGTATTAACAACTGCTAACCTCCCCATCTTTTGTAATTTTATAATGTTGTTTTATATATTTAATTTTTTTTTAATGTTTAATGTTTAATTTTATTGAAAATCAAATCTTGGGCGCTGAGCCAAGTATCAAGACAGCCCGGAGCCCTTCTCTGAGAGAGTTAGGCAGTTAAGAACTGTGAAATATAAATAAATAAATAGGTTAATACTCAAAATAATGTGGAGTGATGATGCATTCACACTGTGAAAAGATTATTTAATAGAAAGAAATCTAGATACAGCAGTCTCTTTATATCTGAATGCACCAGTTTTGGAGCTTTGATTGTCATCATTTAGATTGTTTACAAAATAACTTGGATTTGGGATCCACAACAGCTCTATAATGATTATTTTCCCCAGTCTGTGTTATAGGACAGAATCTACCTTGACTGTCTGATGAAGAGGGAGTGCCATTCTCTTACTTGATAGTTCAGAAGCTTTTAATACCATCAACCATGGTTAGCTCTGAAACAGTGTCTGCCTCTGTCTGAGAGAATAACATTGGAAAACCATAGAATTGCTTTCTAACAGGCTTAGTACTAAGACATCCCTGGATATGGTTACTAAGGGATTTGAAGCAAATTGATATCACCAGCTATATATCTCTAGATCAGGACAACTTAGGCCACAATCTAAATTGATGCTTGAATACACAGGTGGGGAAGGGGACATGGAAACTTAAGCTGAGTTTCATCCAAAAAGATGGAAGGACAGTTTCTAAATCCAGAAATAGGAATTCCCTGCTATGCTTGGAATTTCATACTTTAGGCAGGGGTCCTAACCTGTGGGCTGCGGTCCAGTAGTGGGTTGCAGGCTGCTGCCACTGGCTGCAGACAGGCTGGCCAGTATGCACACATGTGTGTGCACACACCCCTATTTGTGCTACCGCTGCAGCCACAGGATGCAAAAATAGGACATCGTGCTGTTCAGTGCAAAAACAGGATGGTGCCACATCTCGGTGTGCAAATGTGGGACATCACCATGCCACAGGGCATGAAAATGGGATGCCGCACTGCCACACTGTGCGAAAATGGGCCAATGCTGTGCCTCAGGGCACAAAAATGGGATGCTGCCACGCCTCGATGCACGAAAAGGGGCAAATGCCGTGCCTCGAAGCATAGAAATAGGGCACTGTGCACAAGAATGGGGCAGAGCTTGTGAGTATCATGCAAGCGTTAGCCCCGCCCCATTTGCATCACACACTTGCTCGCAGCCACGTGAGCATATGCATGCGAGCGTGCGTAAAATGCTTCCCCTTCCCTTTTCTTCCGGTCCGCCAACCAAGAAAGATTGGTGACCTCTGCTTTAGGGATGCTCCTACCACCCTTTCAAGCTTAGGCTATACATCAGCTGCACCATTTCTAGACAGAAATAATTTATTACAATTGGTCATATATTATTAATCTAAATATTGCAATAGGTCTGCTTTTTGGACTTATCTGGAACCTACAATAATATAGAATACAGAAACGGGGTTCCAGCACAGAGTTGTTATGGTATCTATATTTCATCTGTGCTAAAAGAGCTACATTGGCTGTCAATCTGCTATTGAGTCACATAAAAATATTACTATTAATTAGTACATAAAGCTCTAAACAGTTCTGGGGCCTTAAAATTTTCCCAAGTATTTAAGTTTCTTAGGCAATTAGGGTCCTGGCAGCAGTGCTAAAAGAGCTTTTCCATGGTAATATCTGATGTGACTCCCTTTCAGTGACAACATGTTTTATACTCTTTCAAAAGCTTACTTTTTAATGTAGTCCTTCTCCAACCATAATCCACACTAAATTTTTATTTTAAGGGTTTTTTTCCAACTTGTTTTTAATTTAGTTTTGCTTTGTTTTAACCTGAAATCTCTTTTGGAATTATTGTAAACCACTTCTGGATCTTCTATAATATAAAACAGCATAAAATGTTTTAATAAGTGAAAAGCCTTTAAAAGGATATATGTTACATTTTTTATGCTGATTCTGCTACTAGTTATAGAATTTTGCTTTAGTTAGAGCGTACAGATGACAAAAGTCAGAGAATATTCTATAAAACAGTGTTTCTCAAATTTGGCATCTTGAATTTATGTGGATTTCAACTCCCAGAATTCCCCAGGCAGCAAAATATCCAAATTAGCTACCTGGATTCAGGATGCTTGGGTTGGAAAAATGGGGAGATAGCCAAATCTTTTGAAAAGAGATTCCCTGGTTTCCCTTAAGGCAAATAAAATGCACTGTTTGCTTTGAATGAAACTGATTAAATGTAGGATGTTCTTGCAGATTACAGTGGTATGTTTTTGATTTGCTCTTGCTTTTACAACATTATAAAATCAGGTGCAAATTTAGAGAACTACCATATATGCCGGCGTATTAGGCGACCCGGCGTATAAGACGACCCCCGTCTTTATAGCCGGGCCGCATTCCTAGAACGTCGTCTTATACGCCGGAAACTACCAGTATTTCCGGCGTATAAGACGACTCGGCGTATAAGACGACCCCCGTCTTTGGCGCCGATTTCAGCGCTCGCCGACATTTACAGTATAAAATATTAGCCAGTAGTCTGTGCTATATAGGAACTTGCCAAACAATTTAATATTTCTGGAAGAAGTACTTCTCTGTTTTTCCAACCAAACACCTCATTCCCTGATGGTCGCAAATGTGAATGAGTTGGAATAACTCATTGCTCACATTCAAAGAATATAATCTACAATCAAGCAGCTTCTATAGTGATAATAAAAAAGCAAGGGAAACCCTTGAAAAGTGTAATACAGAGCCCATGTTGGCTATCTTCCATATAATGTCCTTCAGCTATGTTCAGATTACAATTCTGGAATGTATAAAGTCCTCCCAACCTACCTGAAAGGCACAGATATAGAGGCATATAAACTGAAATACCTAAATTATCCATTCCAATGCATAAAAAAGAAAATGAAAATAAAATCGTATATTGCTTGGACAGAACATTTTTTTCCTAATTAGGTCTCACACCCTTGAATGTTATGCTTCTTTTGTAAGACAGTACATAGCTAAGAAATCCATTTTTCTGGCATTCTCACCAGATGAAATTTTATAATAACTTGGGTTTAATTCTTATTTGGTTTATCCACTCCTAATCCCTGTTTTGATCCAGAAAATATTTTCGAATATTTGCTTGGCATGCCTTAGCTTAGCTACTCCTATAATATGAATTGATAATTCATTGATAATACAAGCATTATCTCAATTACTATTGAAATGAATATCTGTAGTGTTACTGTTATGTCATATTTTCAGGTTTCCTAAGAATATTTTTCTGTTCTTGTTAACTCAGAGCCTTTTACTTGGAGCTGCTAGGGACTGAACATGGATGGGAAAGGCTTTACTTTTCAGATACGTATTCTATTGTTGAGATAGGTATATCTTGCAAAAGAATTGATTGAATCATCTGTTATTCTCTTAACATATCACTTAACATCTCTTATTTTGGCATGTAAAGATAAAACATCATGTGTGCACAGTTCCATTGATTTCTAACCACTCAGTTATTAGGTGGATTAAAAATACCATAAGACATCCAAACAATACACAAACATATGTACTCTTTTCCAAACCATCTAGCTGTTTCCTGACTTACTCATGTTTATTTCTTTTATTTATATGGCAGGTAGTAGAGAAGCAGCCTTCGTGTATGCAATCTCCTCAGCTGGAGTTGTATATGCCATCACCCGGGCCTGCAGCCAAGGAGAGCTAAAAGCCTGCAACTGTGACCCCCATAAGCGGGGCCGCTCAAAGGATGAGAGAGGGGACTTTGACTGGGGAGGCTGCAGTGACAACATCAATTATGGCATAAAGTTTGCAAAGGACTTTGTGGATGCCAAAGAGAAAACAGTGAAAGATGCCCGTGCTTTAATGAATCTGCATAACAATCGTTGTGGCAGAACGGTTAGTAATACCAACCTTAAGTTGGAGGGAGGCAATTTTTTGTAGCATAGGGCTACAATATGAATGAATGAATGAATGAATGAATGAATGAATATGGAGAGAGAGGGACATCTAAAGGCCACAAAAGGTTGACTGATGGCATGTCAGCATCATTAGCAGATGGATTGGGCTGAACTTTTTTCTTTTGACTGGTTTGATATTTAAAATGAATAATTGGAACACTGAAATTTGTGAGAAAGGTGAAAATGAAAAAAAAGAAAGAAAGCACTGGGGATAATGTGGGGATAATATTATACTTTGAGAGAGGAACAAATTATCTAACTCAGTCTTAGGGAATGTATAACCATTCCTATATTATTATCTTATGCTTTGTAGCATTTTACAATCAACCTAAGAACTTTTCAGACAACAAGAAATAACAGCATCACCAACTTCACAAAGGCCTAAGAATTTGTTACTGGAACTTTGAACCTTCTTCAGATTCTTAGCCACATTCAAGGAATTTTCAGTTCACTTTGATTGAAAGGTCTGATACTATCAATGTCTAAATAGAATATAAATAAAACAGGGAAAGAAAAAGAGGCAGAACAAGGCAACAATTTCTAATTCTCTCTGTGTGTGTGTCTCTCTCTCTCTCTCACACACACACACACACACACATCAAAAAAAGTTTTTAGACCAATAGCTGCCACTTCAGTAAAGCCAACATAAGATATTTATTTCATCTTGGCATTATATATATGATGAGAGCTAAGTAACTCGAAATAGCTATACCACTCCCCCTTTAACTCTTTGTTAGCAATCCAAATTTCTCACACACACACACACACACACACACACACACATAGATATATACACACACCAATATGGTCTCTAATTATGCTAAAAATACGAATCCTGGATAAATCCATACCATAAAACAATCCGAACACCAGGATAGGTATTAAAACAAAACTGTTTAATGTAAAAAACGGTCCGTCTGTTCTCTCTGCCTGGTTTCTTAAACAGCCCATGTCTCTTACTATGTTAAAGCCCTCTAAGGTTGCCATTTCCTTTTTCTTGGATCCAACCGCTCTCTGTCTGCTAGCATGAGTTAACTGTTTCTGTTCACTTACTCTCTGTTCACTTACTCTCGCGTCTGTCGTCCTTTCCAGTTCTATTTCAGGATCTGTCTGATTTTCCTTGACTGGACTGTGCTTGTATACATTCAGGGGAGGGAGTGGGGGTGTATTAAGCAGATCCAGACACCTATCATCGCAACCCCTGGTGGCTGCATTCCTGCATGTGTTCTTCCAACCAGGGATGCTGCCCTCCTCCATGGGTGTTTGTGAGTATGCTATACCACTTCTGGTTGTCCCCCTCCTCGTAAAGTTTTTCGTCATTTGATCACATACTAAGTTCCTCAGTCCTCCTTCACTGTTCATCAGTCCTTTTGCCCTTTTTGCGTGCCTCAAGCCCTTAAAGGTGGAGGGGGATGAGGTGATGGTATAATTTGATGTCACCTCACTCTTTACCTCCATCCTTCAGGACTTGGCAGTTACGACCTTAAGAGACTGCCTTAATGAAATGGGACAAGGACGACAACAGGATTCTTTGCATACTGATGACCTAGTGAAGTTAATAACATTATGTTTAAAAACGTATTTTACCTTCCAAGGGACCACATACGAGCAGGTCAAAGGAACACCTATGGGATTCCCTATTTCAAGCATAGTGGCAGAAGCCGTTTTACATAACCATAGTTATGACTCAGTTCCACCCTAAATTTTGGGTCCGGTATGTGAATGATACATTTGTAATTATTAAGAAACAACATAAGGCGGATTTTATGGAGACGCTAAACTCGGTGTACCCAGACATCTGCTTTACAGAAGAGGAAGAGAATCAGGGCACTTTAGCCTTTCTGGATGTGTTGGTCCATCGCCAACTAGATGGACCCTATATACAAAAGTATATTGCAAACCGACTCGTACTAACCCTCCATTATGAGAGCAACCATCCAGTGGCCCATAAAATCAGCTGTTCAAATGGATTGATTCACACTGTTGTACAACTAGGATCAAAATCGAAAAAAGAAATCACCTCTTTCAAACCTGTAAGTATAATGGTTACCCTATTGGATTCATTAGGAAGTATAGCAAACCATACAGATCCTGTAAAAACTTACAGGAAAGTGATAGGACGATAACACAAAATGTGCGCATCTCCTTCCCATATATCAGTGGGGTGTCAGAGGTAACAGCCAGACTATTGGCCCCCTTTAATATAAAAGTGGTGCATAAACCAGACCAAACTTTAAGATCATGCACCCAAAAGACCCACTCCCCAACGAAGAAAAATCTTTGGTAATTTATAAGATCAAGTGTAAGGACTGTTCCTGCAATTATATTGAGGAACCGCAAAAAGGTTAAAAACTAGAGTCCATGAGCACGCACTAGCGGTTAGAAGACAGGAACAGCATTCACAGATTTGGTCCCATATGACCAATCATAGGCATGAATTTGACCTTAATAGTGCACAGCCCATATCTAGGGACCCTACCAAGGGAGTCCATTTACTTAAAGAAGCCTGGCTTTCTGATGGTGATTCCATCAACCGCCATATAGAACTTTGCCCGGCATACCAAACATTTAAGGTATGGGAACAACACCACCAGAATCCACAACAAAGGCAATTGGCACACCCCCTACGCAACCAGAGGGAAGGAAGAATGGAGGAGATAGCCCATCTATGTGATAGGGAACCTACAAGGGGAACAGAGAAGGAACAAGAAACACCCCCCTAGATACCCCCGAGGTGTGTTTTAACTCACTCCATGAAAGGGGGAAATAACGATGGGGCTGAACAACAAAGATGGCTGGATGACAACCCACGGGGCACCCACTCCACAACTCCTGCTAATATGAGGGGAGAAATGAGTCACTCCACTGACAAGCATAAGAAAGGAAAGCATAGATCAACGATAGAAAACCATATTGTGGGACCTTGTACGTGTGCAAAAAGAGCAAAAGAAATGATGAACAGCGAAGGAGGAATTTAGTATGTGATCAAATGACAAAAAACTTTATGAGGAGGGGGACAACCAGAAGTGGTATAGCATACTCACGGACACCCATGGAGGAGGGCAGCGTCCCTGGTTGGAATGCAGCCACCAGGGGTTGCGCTGATAGGTATCCGGATCCACTTAATACACCCCCACCCCCTCCCCCGAATGTATACAAGCACAGTCCAGTCAAGGAAAGTCAGACAGATCCCGAAATAGAACTGGAAAGGACGACAGATGCGAGAGTAAGTGAGCAGAAACAGTTAACTGTTTATATATATAAACTCCTTTCATTCAAGTATTGATAGATACACCTTCCAGCAGAAGCATTTTTGTGAGATCATTGAAGGTCACCTCTATTATCTTTCAGTTAGAATGATTCTCAGCTCTAATAGACCAGATAGAGATGTATCACAAAAGAGAAGCTGTAAGTATTGCTCATAGGTCTGGAAGGTCATTATTGTAACTAGCAAAATCTAAGTAGAAATACCCAGTCTAAGAAATAAAGCAGTATCTCTCAGAAAAAGCAGCAGCCATTCTGAATATTATTAAAGCAATTTTTCTCTGTTCCATCTAGATCTGACATTAAAACTTTTATTTCAGGCTGTGAAGCGTTTCCTGAAACTAGAATGCAAATGTCATGGTGTCAGTGGTTCCTGCACGTTAAGGACTTGCTGGCTGGCAATGTCAGACTTCCGCAAAACTGGAGATTACCTCCGGAAAAAATACAATGGTGCCATCCAAGTGACTATGACCCAAGATGGCTCCGGATTTACTGTGGCCAATAAGAACTTCCGAAAGCCCACAAAAACTGACCTTGTGTATTTTGAGAACTCTCCTGATTATTGTGTGATGGATAAATCTGCAGGTAAAACAATATTTTGACATTTTGCTTGCAATAGCCTTCCCCAATTTTAGCACCTACCCTCCAGAGGGCAGATTTCAACTTCCCAAATTTTCAACATTGATCATGATGGTTGAGTAATTTTTGGAATTGAAATTCATACATCTGGAGAGTATCCCACTTAGGAAAGGGTGACTTGGACACTAACATTTTACGAAGGCTTCCTTCTCTTCAGAATTCCTATCTGCGTGAAAATCTCCATGGAAACTAACATCTGAAGTATAAAGTGTACATATCCAAGAATTTCAATTTTACTTCCAGTTAATATTAAATTATGAGAAAAAATATACTTGCAAAATGTGGTTGAAAGAGTTGGATTGATATCACTCTGTTGCTCTTGCTACCTAATCACCTTACCAATATCACTCACCAATATTTCTTATTTCACACCTTTCTTGAGGCAGGAAATTACATTTTCTATTTCCCATAAATAGTTGTTAGAAATTATTCAGGTCAAAGGGTTGGACTAGAAGACCTCCAAGGTCCCTTCCAACTCTGTTATTCTAAGATTCTAAGATTTTTAGCAGACCCAATTGTATTACTACTAATTTAAGTGAATTTCTAGAATTTGCTCTTATAAATTCTATAGAGGGAAATTCATTACAAAAAGTAATGAATTCTATATTTCCCAAGATCCAGTGCCAACGTCATGCAAGATTAAATAAAACTATTCTTCTTTTCTTACAGGTTCACTAGGCACTGCTGGTCGTGTATGCAACAAGGTATCACGTGGGACTGATGGATGTGAAGTCATGTGTTGTGGCAGAGGTTATGATACCACTCAAGTAACTCGAGTCACTAAATGTGAGTGCAAATTCCATTGGTGTTGCGCTGTTCGCTGCAAGGAATGTGAAGACACTGTAGATATTCACACGTGTAAAGCACCAAAGCGTGCAGAATGGATTGACCAAACCTGAGACAGTGCTGGACAGATCCAGAAAAGGAAAGTAAAGCTGGTGCTGTGCCATCTGTGGGCCTGAGAATTCTGGGAGTTGTAGTTCAACTGCATGGCATTTATTTAACTCATTCTCAAAAATAAAGAGAAGACTATATTTCCCAACGGGTATTAGTGGGCTCCTTTGCTCACCAAGCAGATTTTCACACCCCTACTTTAAAAAAAAAAACAAATTAGCAAATGACAGTGAACTGTGCAGCTTTCTCTACTTGGTATTACTGTCCCAAAATAGGAGAGTGAAATTGCTGATAAACATAGGACGCTAAGAATCAGGCTATGATTTAGTGCCTCATTCTAAAAAAAACAAAACGTTTACACAGTAATCTATAAATATCATATGCACCCAAAAGTAGAGAAAACAACCACAATTATTCTATCCAATCTGGAATAAGCATATTATTTTCATCTTTCAAACAGAGGTTACCATGCCTGCATTATGGACATCAGTTGAAAAAGAGCAACTTTGTGTAAAGTGACATTCATTATATTCTCTCTCCAACTGAAATTAAACAATGGAATTATAAAATTGTTTGCAAGAAGAAAATCAATTCTACAGAGAGGGCAGAATAAAAAAGGTGAAAGAAAGTTGAGAATATGTGTATGTGTCTGGAAAAGTTGTAGGCTCTAAAAGAAGCTAATATAATATTTGTTTAAAATAAATCCACTTGTTATATGCATTGCTTTAAATACTTCAGAAAAACAACATAAAAAGTACTATCGGAAAATTATTCTCTTGGATTTGGTGAATTTCTGCACTTATGATCATTTGTGATTAATTGGGTAAGTGATGGATAAGTCTAATTCTTCGTTATTGTTTCAACTCTGTAAACTCTGTGGTTTTTGACACTGAATCAAAGCAACATTCTTGAAAAATAGGACATCATTATAACTTCAAAATAACAACAAATATCTGCAATCATAATTTTTTAACTTTTCTTTTCTTTTTTTTTCTTTTTTTCCCCATGTCTCATTATGGCCATTCTGAAATTCTATCTTTTCCCAGAGCCCAACATGCTGTGTTTGGGCCTCCACTAAGCTTATCATGTACAATCACTATCATATCCTCAGCTTCTTTTTGCTTCTAAATGCTTTGGAATGGAACAAAACAAAATGAGCCAGAAAATTAAATCTCTGGTCCGGGTGACCAACCAGATTGGATCCTGCAAAAAAAAAAAAAAAAACAGTCTTCAACATTATTTTCACATTACTTTGGACATCTCACAAAAGCACACAAAAATCTTTGGTCCAGCTCAAATTGCCGGCCCATGGGCCGGTTGCATCATATGGAGGCTGCAGCCACCCTAGCTCAGGCAATGCAAAAAAAGCCATGACACGTCACGACATGTCATGTGATGCGGCGAGTTTGACACCCTTGGTCCAGCTGCTCTAGAATTCAGCAGTATGCAGACTTTTGAATGTCCCATAGTTCATCCAAGTAACACCACTGCTGGATGAGTTTCACTGAGTTTTAATTGCTTTCTGGGTGCAATTCAAGTGCTGGTTATCACTTTTGAAGTCCTACATAGCACAGAGCCAGGTTACTTGTGGGACCACCTCTCCCTGAGGATATCTGCCTGTCCTATTAAGTTAGATAGATGAGCGCAACCCAGATCTCTTCCCTTAATATTACCACTTGATGGGACTTTGGACCTGCACCTTCTCAATAGCTACTCCAGCCCCATGGGACATCCTCACACCTGAAATTTGAGGGATCTCTTCCCTTTTAGCCTTCTGGAGGACTATAAAAGACCTGGTTCTTCCTGCAGTCATTGTAGTAGGATAAGGTTGATCTGTTGAGATGTTTAGTCTGGCACTGATGGGGGAGGGTATTTTTATCATTATATGAGATAGGCAACCATATAAGTCCTGTAAATAAATAAATAAACTCTAATCTAAGACAGGATTTGACTCCTTTGGGTCAGCTATTGACTTATGACCTATAAATTTTGATCATTCAGGTGATACAAGAGTTTTTGTCCAGACTCTTCTGTTCATCCAACCTGTAGATGCACTGGTAAAAAATATATGTTTGGAAATTATTAAAGCCCTTAGCTATAAAAGTATTTATGAAAGAAACTGTACTATGTTGACTTCAACTCTATAACAGAACTCAGAATTTTAAAATCCATTCAGCTTCATCACATTGCTAATTAATTATTTTAAAGCACTATGGCACTCCCATCTCAATTTTATTAGGATACTACAAAATATTTGAAAAAGTGCTTCCTTTCTTTTGCCAATGCCATGTGTATACAAATGTCCTGGAAATGTCCTTGATACAGCAGTGCTAAAAACTCCTTATTTCAGCATTTACAGGGACATCAAATTTAGCTAAAAGTTTTGTTATATATTTACCCAGGCAGGACACAATAGAGCCACAGTAGACTAAATGAATCTGTATACCTCTGTTAAGAAGCAAGTATCAATGGAAAATATTCCTAAGCAAAATGTGTACAACATTATATCTTACTTCAGGTAACATACGGTAATTCTAGATAGTGTTAATAACATTAGATGATACAAAATATTCAACCATTTGTATAACGTTACAGTTTTAATCTATAGCATTTCCAAGCAGGTCTACAAAAGGCAATTGAAACCCTGGAGAGCAACTGCCTATTATGATGAGTCCTGGGCTAGATAGGCCTGTCATCTAGCAGAGGCTAAGACTGTTTTCTATGTACTAATTCCCTACTTTCAAATGGCTGCTTTTTCTCAGAAGCAAGAGGATTGGAGATAATAGCTTTATAGAACCAAAACAATCCAGAATTTAGAGAAAAGTTTTTTCTCCTGCCTGGAAACAGTATCTAAAATCAACAGTGGATTGACCTTAATGAAAATTATCAGCACTGTTAACTTCTCTGGTGCACTGGTTAGTAAAGAAAATGTATGCTTATTTATGGCTCCACATTTTAATCTGAAAAGAAGTTTTCCCATCTTCTGGAAGATAGTTTATATATATCTTTAGGAGACATAAATGTAAAAAGACAATGATTCTTTGGCAAAATAGCAAACCTTGTATTTTTCAAGGTGCTGCAGCAGCTGTAGCTGTTCTCACTGTTCAAATTGAAAACAAAAGGATCATTTGGTAAATTATTGCCAGACAAGAATGATTAAATGGCAACTGTATATAAAACAGGCTTCCTATATGTGCTCCCCTTTTAAATCTCTTTTTTAACAATTAGGAAAAGGGATTATCATTAGATCATCTCTTATCTTATGAAATGGTCTACTGAAAGGCTGTCAAAGCTATTGTGTGCTTGTAAAGGGATGCTCACAAGAATGGAATAGGTCTAAGAAATGATAAGAATGTCATACAGGTTTCCAGTATATATTACAGAAAATGGCAGAAGACCTGAGAACATTCTCTGCTTCCATAGCAACAAGCAGCAAAACTTTGAAAATGCCCTATCTTTGCAAGGTCATAATTCATATTCTTTTATAGTATTGTATTGGTATAGTTTGCTATTCATCTATGAAATCTTTGATTATGAGACTGCATCAGGCAGTATGAAGAAGATGGAGTTTGGTATGTTAAAAAAGAGAAGAAAGTATCAGTCTTGCATTTTTATATTCAAAGGCTTTCTCATATTTATATTCACTCTGAGTAATACTGCCTTTAAAATTCCTTGGCCTATTTTTATCATGTTTTCATTGGACTCTGTAATACATTTCTGCATTCTATGGTTGATATTTCAAAACTGTTCTTCACCTGTCCTGCTTATCTTTGTTTGTCTGACTTATGCATAATAATATTTTATATTTTATTTTTTATACACACACACACACACACACACACACACACACACACACACACACACACACCAAGGCAGCAAGCATACCTGATACTCCTTCCTCCTCCTATTTTCACCACAACAAATAACTCTGCGAGATGAATTGAGCTAAGAAAGAGTAATTGGCCCAGTCAGCAGCCAGCTTTCATGCTTAAGGTGGGACTGGAACTCATGGTCTCCTGGATACGTAGGAACTTCTTTTGAACATTCTAAAACAGGGGTGTCAACTGCCGGCCCACAGGCTGGATGCCTCACATGGAAGCCATGCCCACCCCAACTCCGGCAAGAGGGGAAAAGTCACGACACATCACGTGACACGGCGAGTTTGACACCCCTGTTCTAAAATGTTTCATGTACATTATCTCAGCCATCTTTCCTTATAATCAACCATATAAGATAGAACAATGTTATTACTTAAGTAGCAGCTTAAGAAGAAGTTGAAGCTAAAGGACTGCAATTAGACAAACCGTTACAGAAAATTCTGTATCATTAAGGAAGCAGAAAAAGTATATAAATTATGTTTCGCATAACCATTGAGGCTCTACTTCCATTGCCATTATACATTCTTAAAACTCAGGATAAGTGTGAGTTAGCATTATTACACCAAAAAGCAATTCTAAATAAAATATTTATGATATATATTTAAACTGCAAAAAATAATAAATATATATCACATTCTAAACTATTTTTTTCTGCCTTCTGCATTCTCCTTTAGACTTAGTATTTTCATAACTTTGATAATTTAAGGAACATGTACTGTTTGGTTAATCTGGTATTTTATAAAATTTGCCATGTAAACAAATATTTCTACATTTCTCATGTTTCTACATAAAAATCCTAATATAATAAAGTAAGGATATATTGATCATTAATTTATGAAAATTAACCATGAAACATATGATGACTATATACTACCTCTGTTATATGCCTCTAGATATTATTTGCTGAGGAATGAAGTAGAAGATAATATTGTGTTGTATTTTGCTTATGGATTTAGCCTAAGCATCTCATTGTCCTCATAGCTATGGGCTAATAGTTGTTTATTTATTCTTATTGTTTAGGGCAGGGGTAGGCAACCTTAGCTCTTTTATGACACGTGGACTTCAGCTCCTAGAATTCCTAAGCCAGCATGGCTCACCTTGGAAACCTCTCCCTTTCCCCTCAGCATGGTTGGTTCAGGAATTCTGGGAGTTGAAATCCACGAGTCATAAAAGAGCCGAGGTTGCCTACCCCTGGTTAAGGGGTATCTCTTGCTCCATTTTTCACATTGTCTTGCAATATTCCCATTACTTGAAGTACTTCTACCAAAACACACAATGTCAGCATTTATTGCATTTCCATTGCATTTCATTTGCATTTCCAATTCTTCTATTTATTATCCCCACTTATTAGATTAATATGATGAAGTGTAAGCATATAGTCAAATTATAACAAAGTTACATACATTCATGAAACTGCAATACAATCCTCTTTGGTAATAATTTAACAGCAACATTGATGACATTTGCGATATATTTTGTTCTTTTGGTTTCAGATAGCCATGTCTGTTACAGCCAGGAAATAAAACCAAATAATTTATTAAGAAAAAATGCCACAATGCACCAGTTTCTCAACATCATTTGTTATGTCTGTCCTGACTGAGATCATATGATCTCTATTAATTAAAATCATGAAAATCAATATCTCTATTCATGATTTATTGTCAGACTGTATTAATTTTGTTTAGAAAACATACCAACAATTTTAAATAGTTAAAAATATAGGTAGTCCTCAACTTATGACCACAATTAAGCTCAAGATTTCTGTTGCTAAACCAGACAGGTGTTAAGTCAGTTTTGTTCCATTTTACAACTTTTCTTCCCACAATTATTAAGGGAATTACTGCAGTTGGTAAGTTAATAACATGGTTGTTAAGTGAATCTGGCTTCCCCATTGACTTTGCTTGGCAGAAGGTCACAAAAGGGGATCACATGACCTCCAGGACATGGCAACTGTCATAAATGTGAACCAGTTGCCAAGCTTCTGAATTTTGATCACGTGACCATAGGGATTCTGTGACAGTGATAAGTATGAAAAATAATCATATGTCACTCTTTTCAAAGCCATTATCACCTTGAACAGTCACTAAATGAATGGTTATAAGTCAAGGACTACTTGTATAGTAAATAATTTGAAATATTTCATGGACAAGTCCTTTAAAATTTAGGACTTTCCTTTTTGTGATAATTGTTAACTGTTAAGATGGGCTATTCAAATTCTGAGAAAAATTCAAACAGCATCAACTTTTGAAATGTGTCCAATGCCAAAATAACTTTTATTCATCAGTTCTATATTTGCTAATTGTAATCAATAATGATCAGAGGCTATAGCGACTGCAGAGGTTTCTTTTGCTTTCTTTAGTTACACCATATGCCAAATATATATCAGCTTCCTTTTCAGTTTTAAGAAACTGTTTAGCAAAATTCAAGAGCATTCACAGCTTTAAGAGTATTCATTAAATCTATTTGATGTATATGCCTAATTAATTTAAGTATTTGAAATTAAATTGGTTCTTATGTATTAAAATTATATTCTTTACCTCTTGTATCAACTATTACTTGTTCTTTTTTATTTTTAAAAAATCAAGAGAAGATAACTTAATAATAAAACAAAAACAAAATCACTGCACAAAAATCTTCCTGGCATCCAACACTCTATTTCAGATGCTGCTTTAAAATGAGAAATTACTCTGCTGTTTTTTCAAAGCTCTTCATCTTGTCTTCCAATATATAAATACGTATTTTGTTACTTAGTGTCATTGCTTTGATGCTGATCAATTTATCCATTTTACTTACTTACTTACTTACTCACTCACTACATTGTACACTACCCATCTTGCCTAGAAGTGACTCTGAATGGCTTACAAACCTTAAAAGCCAATAAAACATTAAAGCAATAATCCATACAAACACATAGAAAATACTTGTTCTTATCAAGTAGGTAAGTAAGAGACCGGGACAAAATAAGCTTACTGAGAGTATTACCATTTCTAGAATATTTTGACCTGAAAGAATGTTTAGATCAGATGTCTCATATTCTGTTTTGAAATTGTAATTCTAGGACTTCTGGAAATGGGATGACTCTGAGACTAGTCAAATGCTCCAGGTGATCTGTTGGTAGAACTGGATGCTGGCAAGTTCAATAGTAGAATTTGAGCCTGCATGTAAAATGAGTCTGACCTTTGGGAATACATGGCTACATTGCAGCTGTAAGGCTAAGGCTGAGGCTGATGAGCTCGTTGTGAAGGTTCAGACTATGCACTTGGACAGGCAGGAGAAGAACTTTGTATAACACTTGCTGTACCAATGACTGAAATTCCTGCAATTATAAAAATATTAAGCATGATTTGTCTCTCCCATTTTGTGGTTCAAGTTTATGTCAAATCTGGATAAACTGTAGCCAAGTGCCCTCATCTGAAGTCTTCCAAATCTTTCCAAATGAGGCTAACCCTAACCCTAACCTTTCCAAATTAAAGCATTATTGGAATTTTTGTAGGTGAAAGGGGAGAAATTGAATTTGGCCCAGAGATTTTCAAACCTTCCCTAACAGACATGTTCATCAGCACTGAGATCTAATCTATTGGAAAGAACTCCCTTAATCTATCTTCATTATTGCCCTACCTGCCATTAAGCCTCCCTTCACAACAAAGCAAGACTTTCTTCTCCCCTAGAGGAAAATGTTCACTCAATGGGCTGGAAAAGTTAAAACTGTTGAGGGGGAATGGAAGTAGCTGAGAAAAATCTTCTCTTTGCAACTATCTGGAAGAGCCTCTGTCCAGAATGCCAGACTTTACACTACTTAAAACTGACCTGATGAATAACAAGGTATGACCTGGAGACACACACACAAACAGAGGGGGGGGGAGACAGACAGACAGACAGAGACAGTTTTGATTTGCCCTAAATATTAGTCCAGGAATATTTCTTGACCTTGTGTAACTGTGTACCTGCCACTAGCAGTAGAGAAAAATCACCCATCATATTTTGGGAGCCTGTTACTAAAGAGAACTCTAGGAACAAAGTAAAGGTGTTATCTAGCTATTCATGGGAACTGGCTTTTCAGTTTTTATTTCTGTGTTTGCTGCCTATCTTACCACAAGGTGATGCTTTTTTCTGTTTACTAGGATGAGGTTTTTGTCTGCTAGGCTAGGTCTTTAGCGGAATGAAGCTAATACATAATTAGAAGAAGGAAAGATGTTGTTGCTCCTACTCAGTGCTTTTGTTAAAAAAAAGAAAAGGTGCCAGAACTCACAAACGTCATACAACCCACTTTGCCTACCCTACAAGGTTCCATCCAAAAAAGGTGCCAGAACTCCGTTCTGGGCATTCTGTGACAAAAAAAGCCCTGCTCCTACTATCCAGAGTTCAGTAAATGGGGTATCTTCCCTTCTGCAACTTGAAGCCTTGTTGGGTCTGCTGGGTCTGCTTCCCACTTGCTCTGCTCTGTACTTGGTCAAGAAGGGGTTGCAGCTTAATTGAGATAACACTCTGAGGTACTAAGAAGAACAAAGTAAGAATTCTCATCAGGAAGAAGACACCTTATCCCATTGTTTCAGAGAAGTGTGACAAAATGACACTTTTTGTAATTGTGGCAAAGTTTCCTCTGAAGCAGAAGCCAAGCTGGTTAATCCGGCCAAAACCCCAGTGACACAAAAATATAAAAGAGCAGCACCAATGTCAAATTTCTCTGTTAGTAGTATATGGAAGGAACCTCAAAGCAAGACAAAAGTATGACAAAATAAGCTAATAAGTACTTTTATCTTTCCTAAGTTACTTAAACCAACATTCCTCATTTTGCTCTTGTCCAGTTGATAGGAAATGTGGGGTGCACATCTGGAGGGGTCCAAGATAGGAAAGGCTATTTTAAATTGTTAGATGAAACAGTCAAAAGGACAAATCTTTTCTCTCTTTTGGTAACTCTAATAATAATCAGAG